GCCCCGTGCCGTGGCTCACGCCTGTAATCCCAGCGCTGCGACTCGAGGGGTCGAGCGCCAGCCTTGAGCGGGAAAGCTCAGGTAGATAGAATTCAAGCCTCAGCACCAAGGAGGGAGCGGGGAGAGAGGGAGAGAGAGAGAGTCATTCCTCAATTAAGCCTGGTAATTGCCACACAGACACCCTAGGGGGTGCGGCCAGGGGCTACGAGACCCCCATGCTGTCTCTCCCCTGGGGACCAGAAGACCCCGAACCCCAACATTTCTGATGCTCAGGGGACACTTGCTGACCTGCACACATGTCTCTGCCTGGACTGATCATGGAAAAGAAGGTGTGTGTGTGTGTGTGTGTGTGTGTGTGTGTGTGTGTGTGTGCATGCACACACCAGTCCTGGGACTTGAACTCGGGGCCTGGGCACTGGCCCTGAGCTCTTTGTGAGCCACGGCGCCACTTCTGGCTTTTTCTGGTGGTTTATTGGAGATCAGAGTCTCACCGGCTTTCCTGCCCGGGCTGGCTTTGAACCGCCATCCTCAGCTCTCAGCCTCCTGAGTGGCTGGGCTGACAGGCGTGCGCACGGGCTTCCTGTCTTCTTTCTTTGCTAGCGCTGAGGTTTGAACTCAGGGCCCGTCTCCCCTCACAGCTGGCACTCTACCCCTTGGCCGTGCCCCTCTTTCTAGCTTTGGCTCATCAACTGGAAATGACATCTCTCTGACTTGTCTTGCCCAAGTTGGCTTCTGCCTGCGATCCTCAGGTCTCGGCCTCCTGAGAGGCTGGGGTGCTGCCGGGGGGGGAGGTAGGGGGTGCAGGACGCCCCGTGTGAACCCCCTTTCCAGATGAGAACCCGCGGGGTGGGGGAGGGGCTGGGACAGCCCAGGGCAGACCCCCCCACCCGCCCTACCCCCCCCCCGCCCCGGCGGAGAGGCCCGGGCCAGGCCCCTGTAAGGCGGTGTTAAGTAGGCCACAGGAAGCCTGCCAAACCCTAACACTCCCGGCTTAGATTTCTGGCTGCTGCACCCTAAAACCCTGGCTCAGGGAAGGTTTCCCAGCCCACAGCTGTCTCCAGCTGCGCCGGCCAGCCCCGGGCGCCCAGGAGGGCTATATAAGGGCCTGGGCTGGGGGAGCCCCGGCGGGGGCGGGGCCGCGCGGAGGGGGGGTCTCCCGGCCCCGCCCCCGTGGGAACACCACAGCCAGCTGCACCTGCCTAGAATGAACATTCCTGCACGCCATCCCGGCCTGCCCCCCCACCGCGCCGGGCCCCCCCCACCGCGCCGGGCCCCCCCCACCGCGCCGGCCTCACCTGCTGCCAGACCCGGCCAGGGCCGGCCACCGGCCACCAGATGGCCGGGGCCTGGGGGAGCCTGGGAGATGGGAGAGCAGCCAGCCGCAGCGGGTGGGATTCGGCGGGCGATCCCTCCACCTGGCTCCCCCAGAGCCCAGGCCCAGCTCTTCTCCCACAAAGCGTGAACCCCAGGACGGTGCTGACCAGCGGCCCTGCTGGCCCAGAGCTCAGCCCCGGGGCCCCCGGGGTCCTCAGAACCAAGGGTGTCATTTGCAACAGCACCGCCACCACCCACAGAGACCCCCGGGCGGGAAGGGCCAGCGCGGGGTTTAATTCGGGCTATTTCTGCATCTCTCTGCCCTGCCATGCTCTCCCATGACAACCCACGACGGTCAGAATCAGATATATGTTTGTATTTTTAAAGAGCCGGCTGTCTGTCTGGCACTGCAGCCACGGGGAAGGTGGCGATCGGGCGGATCGCTGTTCACCTCGTTCAGAAGTCCTTCCATGTCTACCTTGGCACAGGAGCAGGGCCGGGACTCCCAAGGGGCCGGGGCACAGGCCCCTGTCCCTGAGGACCCCCCCAGCCCGGCCCTGCCCCCGGGGGGGTCCACACCGCCTGGGCTGGACGCAGCAGCAGGCCCCTGTCCCTGAGGACCCCCCCCAGCCCGGCCCTGCCCCCGGGGGGGGTCCACACCGCCTGGGCTGGACGCAGCAGCAGGCCCCTGTCCCTGAGGACTCCCCCAGCCCGGCCCTGCCCCCGGGGGGTCCACACCGCCTGGGCTGGACGCAGGAGTGCGCAGCGAGCCGTGCACCTCCAGCACGTCCACCCTGCACGGGGCAGACACCCCGGGCTGCCACCGCTGTGTAAGCGCCCCGTGGCCTTCCTGTGGTACCCCAGGCTGCCTCCCCTAAAACACGCCTGACGCCCCCAGGGTGGGTGGACAGGCCAGAGTGGCCGGGGTCAAACCCCCAGGCCGGGCAGCGGCTTCTCGGCACACACAAGCACTCGGAGCTGCGGCTGTGATCTCGGGGGGCAGATGAGCTCCACAGAGCTGGGGGGTCACGGGGTACACCGGCATTCGCGGGTGCAGACACCCCCCCATCGCAGCACCCAGAGGAGGGCTCCTGACCAATCCTGAGCGCCTCAGGAGGCTGGGGTCTGAGGACCAAGGTTCAAAACCAGCCCGGGGCGTGGGGGGGGGGCTGGGCAGGTGGCTCAGTGGTACCGCGCTCCCCTCGCTTGCATGAAGCCCTGGGTTCAATTCCTTGGGAACACGGACACAGAAAAAAGCCGGAAGTGGCGCTGTGGCTCAAGTGGTAGAGTGCCAGCCTAGAGCCAAAGCAGCTCAGGGGCAGCGCCCAGGCGCTGAGTTCAAGGCCAGGATTGGCCAGACAGACTTGACAAGGACACAGGGCAGGGGACACAAGGCCAGGGACCAGAAATGCCACCCACAGGGACACAGCGAGCTGCGGACCGGGGGCAAAGCGGAGAGGTGGAGGCCAAACCAAGAAACCGCGGCACGCCAGAGGCCAGAGAGCCGAGCGGGGCTCCCCGGATGGGCCCGGGGCTCCCCGGATGGGCCCGGGTCCCCCATTAGCCTTAGCAGCAGGGTCCCCCACAATCCAGAAGAGGTGTGGGCATTGGGGGGCTCCCCGTCCAGAGCCGGGGGGCAGGTCTGCAGGGGAGGGCAGGATAACCTGACACCGATGACACCAACCCCCCAATCCGTCACCCCGAAAACCCCGTGCTGCGTCCAGGGGCCACACGGCAGGAGTCAGGGGCGGGAACAGCAGCGCAGGAGGGTGGGCCCCGAATCTGGGTGCCCAGAAATGAGAAACAGACAACACAAAGTCATCGGGGACAGAGGACACCGGCACGGGGCCCTGGAAGGAGCCGGGGCGCCCTGGACGGACCCCCGGACCCCAGCCTGGCCAGTGCGGACGGCGGACGGGCGGGTGAGGCCGACTGGCCGGGAGGTCGCGCCCCCCACGCCGTGCTCCGCCGACAGGAAGGACCGCCCGCTCCCCGCGGGGTCGGCCCCTGGGATGGACGGGCTTCGTGACGCATCCCTTGGGCCCGGCCAGGAGGCCGTGGGTCTCCAGAACCACCATGGCGCCCATCGCCTCTGCCCCCCCCCCGCCGACCAGAACCTTCTATCCGTGCTCTCGGGGCTGGGCAGCACAGGGAGCTGGGCCTGGAGCCCCGCTGCTGGGAAGTCCTGCCTGAGGTCTGCCCACCTCCTTCCTCCCACGGTAGATGGGGCTCCGGCCCCCTAGTGCTTCAGGTCGGGAGCAGGCCGCCGGGGTCCCCGCCACACCCGAAAAGCAGCCCAGGAAAGTGGGATGGAGCCAGCCAAGGTGGATGAGTGGGGTTGGGGACACCAAAACCACCCTGCCCCCCCCAAAAGGCAGAGAGGCCAAGATGGACAGAGCCAGGCTGGCTCAAGGTCACGTCAAGGACAAAGCCCGGCAGCCTCACGCTGCCTCCCGGGGTGGCAGATCGGCCTTGCCTTCCGCCCAGAAAGCGGCCCTGGGACATCCTTCCTGCCCCCCCATCTTCCCCCCATCCCCCCCCCCGAACCTCCCTCTTGGTGGCGGCCTGGGAGCCGCTGGCAGGTGCCGGAACGTGCGCGGCTCCAGGCACCTGCTGGGCCGCTTGGCCGCCCGGGCTGGTCCGCTCCGAGGCGCTGAGCGAGTTCCTGAGGCTCTGCCAGCCGGAACCCCGATCGGGGCCAGCAGGGCTGGGGGGGGCGGGCAGCACGTGGGGACTTGGGCCTTCTGCCTTCTCTTGCCTTCCAGAAGGTCTCAGCAGCCAGCCGTGCTGCAGCTCGGTGCTGATCTCCCCCACCCCCAGCGCGGGGGGGGGGGGTCCACGCGGGGGGAGGGAGAGGGGGAGGGAGGAGGCTACCCACCCCCCAAGCCCCTGTGGGGCTCCCGATGCTCCTGCAGAGAAGGTTCTGGAGACGGCTGCAGCCAGGAGGCCGCACGCCTGGCTCTCTTGGGTGCCACGGGTGACAGCGGGACCTGGCCCCACGCCAGCCCTCCCTCCCCGCTGCCCGGCCCTCCCGCCATGACTGGAGGCCCCTGGGCCACCTGGTCCTCTCGGGGCGGGTCACCAGCCATCTGCCGGGCGGGGAGCTGGCTGCCCGCGGGCCGGCCCCGGCGGGGCTGGGAGGGCTGGCTGCCTGTGTGGCTCGTGCCATGGGGGGGGCGGGCAGCAGGCCACGCCTCCTGCTTCTCATCCCCCCCCATAGCCCTGGAGAGAAAAATAAGGGGGGGCATCTCCAGGCCCTGGGAGGGAAAAGAGGGTCTGGCTGGCTCCTCTGTGGGTACCAGCAGCCCCCACAAAAAGATGGAGGGTCGCCAGGCGCCGGCGGCTCCCGCCTGTCATCCCAGCGACTGAGGAGGCTGAGATCTGAGGATCGCAGTTCAAAGCCAGCCTGGGCAGGAAAGTCCGTGAGACTCTGATCTCCAGTGAACCACCAGAAAACCAGACGTGGCGCTGTGGCTTAAAGAGCCAGCTGGTGAAGGGCGCACCCCACCCCCTGCCCTCCCCACCCCCTGCCCTCCCCACCCCCTGCCCAACCCGACCTGCCTGGCTCAGCGGGCTGAAGGGCAGGGCAGGCAGGGAACAGCTCAGGTTGATAGAGTCTTTTTTCTTTTTCTTTTTTTGTCCATCGTGGAGCTTGAACTCGGGGCCTGGGCGCTGTCCCTCAGCTCTTCAGCTCAAGGCTGGCGCTCTACCCCTTGAGCCACAGCACCATGCCCAGGGCAGGCTGCCTCGGCGGCTCCCTTCCTGCTGAAGATCTAACCACCGGGGACAGTGAACACAGCACCCCAGGGGCTGAGGGAGCTCTGAAGGGGGAGACAGGCCCGGGACCCCAGAAGGGGCAGGGAGGAGGGAAGAAGATGGCAGAGTTCCCCCCCCCCCCCGTAGGTGCTGGCTCTGCCCAAGAGAGGAGGAAGGATTAGTCAGGTATTCAGGGAAAGTTCCAGGGCTGGAGCATCCGCCTGCTTGGAGCCGGCTTACCCAGCCCCCCCCCCCAGGGCGGGGAGGGTGGGGAGGGAGCCCTGCCCGCCACAGATCACCAGCCAGGCCTTGGCATGGCCGGCAGCATTCCATTCTATACTAGGCCAGTGACTTATGCCAGGGTGCCATGCCAATCCTAGACTGGCAGAATCCTGTCGCTCCCCCTCCGCCCCCCCCCCCAGGGCCTCTGATGGCTCCTACCAACTCAGGAGGTTGAGATCCGGAGAATCGCAGTTTGAAAAGCCAGCCTATGCAGGAAAAGCCCAGTCAAAAGGAAGCCGGGCTAGAGGTGTGGCTCAAGTGGCAGAGCACCAGCTAAGCAAATAAGCGAGCCCTGATTTCAAACCCCAGAAGATGCCAGAAAGAAACGTTTTTTTAACCATCAGCAACCTGAACGAAACCCCAGTGTTTCGTATAATTAACCAACGCGTTCGCTCCTCCGCAGCCAGACTAGCCAGACAGATCCAAGAGACGCTCATCTCCAGTGAACGAGCAAAAACAGCCCAGAGTCCAGAGGTGCGGCTCACGTGGTCGAGCACCAGCTGAGCAAGCACGAGGCCCCGAGATGACACAGCACAGTGGCGCTGCCAAAACATAAAAATAAAAATGACAGAGAAAGTAAAGACCCAACGGTGACTGGGCAAAACGGGCACGCCAAGAATGTCACGCCTGGCGTCCCGGCCTCGGGAGACCAGGACACGAGATCCAGGCCCACAAGGCCTCCCTCTGTGGTACCAGTCCTGGGGCTTGAACTCTGGGCCTGGGCGCTGTCCCTGAGCTCTATCAGGCTGGCGCTCTACCCCTTGAGCCACAGCACCACTTCCAGTTTTCTGGTGGTTCACGGGAGATCAGAGTCTCACAGACGTTCTGCCCGGGCTGGCTTCGAACCGCCATCCTTCAGCTCTCAGCCTCCCGAGTAGCTGGGGTGACAGGCGTGTGCTCAGGCCAGTGGCCCGAGACACAAGCTCACGTACACCCCTGCCATTTGCTGCAGCTCCAGGCTAGGGTACGGGGGGCTGGGGTTCCAATCTGGGGGGGCAGGGGGCTGGGGCTCCCCACTGCTCAGCTCAGGCTCTGGCCCTGCCGCCTCTGGCTGCCTCCGAGATCTGATGGGTTAAGTTCAGAGATTGTGGATGGTGAGGTGCGTGGGGGACCCCCTTCCCCCACGAAACACAGCACGACGGGGCGTGAGCAAGCCACGGCGCACGCACCACACCTGTGAGCCTCGTGGGACCTGACACTCAGAGGGGAGAAATCAAGCTGCCAAATGCTGCGTCTACCACCACCACCAAGATGTTTATACAGGCCAAGCACCGGCGCTCACGCCGGGCGTCCTGGCTTCTCGGGGGAGGCTGAGATTCGAGGCTCGATGTTCGAAGCCAGTCCAGGCAGAAAGAGCGGTGAGGCTCTTCTCTCTAATGACCTAACAACAAGCCAGAGACAGAGAGCCAGCACACGGCCACGGGAGAGCAGGAGGGCCCGAGGTCAGACCAAGTAGCTGCACACGCGTGGCCATGCACGCACGTGCACGCACACACACACACACACACACACACGAAAGAAAGAAAGAAAGAAAGAAAGAAAGAAAGAAAGAAAGAAAGAAAGAAAGAAAGAAAGGCTTTTATACAGCTCAAAAGCAAGTCAACCTGAAGTAAGAGTCATTATGCAAGGAAATATATGAACGGTAACATTACCAAAAAAGGCCAGAGGCTGGTAGAACGGCTGACGGGGGGGGGGGTCCCGGTCCAGCGGCGCCGGCCCCTTCCTACGGTGGGAGGGGGTGGATTGCCCGTGGTTCTCGGCGCCCACCCGCGCTCTCTTGGTCATCAGATGTCACCTGGCGCGTTACTGGCCCTGCTTGAGTGATGTCACCTGTGAGAGGCTGGCAGCCAGCCCCGTGGTGAGCTCTCTGGGGGGGACAGGGTACCCCCACCATCAAAGGCCAGGCCTGGAGAAGGGAAAGGGCAGTGCTGGGGGGGGCGAGGGGCGGAGCTGAGCCATGTGCCGGCGCACGCATGTGCGCCCTTCTTGTCTGATCTTCTTTGTGTATTTGGGTTTTTGTCATCCTGGGGCTTGAACTCAAGGCCCGGGCGCTGTCCCTGAGCTTGTTTTGCTAGCACTCTACCCTTTGAGCCACAGCGCCACTTCTGGCTTTTTCTGTGTATGTGCTACTGAGGAATCGAACCCGGGGCTTCGTGGACACTAGGCGAGCACTGTACCACTGAGCACCTGCCCAGCCCCTGTCTCAGCTCTTAATGGACACAGAGATAAACAGGCGATAGGTGATGGAAAGATATAGACAAACGTGATGGATTGATAAATGATATTTGGACAGACAGATGACAAAACAGCTATAGATAGATAGACAGATGATATAGATGATGCACAGATAGATAGATAGACAGACAGACAGACAAACAAGAAAGCTGGCCTCATACACTGTAGTTCCTGGAAGGATTTCTTTAAATACCCAAATCTCACAGTAAAAAGAAACATCTTAATAGCCAGGCCCCCAGTGGCGCCCGCCTGTAATCCACACTCCACAGGAGGCTCTAAAGTAGGAGCCGTGGTGCTGGGAAGGTGGCTCAGTGGTAGAGCACTCGCCTCGCATGCCTGAGGCCCTGGGTTCGATTCCTCAGCACCACATAAGCAAAAAAAAAGCCGGAAGTGGCACTGTGGCTCAAGTGGTAGAGCGCTAGCCTTGAGCTGAAGAGCTGAGGGACAGCGCCCAGGCCCAGAGTTCAGGCCCCACGACAGGACCAAAAAAATAAAGTAGGAGCCATCAAGCTTTGGAAAGGAGCTCCAGCAGAAAAGTCCAAGTCTCCCTCTCCAAAACAACCAGCAAAAATGGGGCTGGAGGTGTGGTTCAGGCAGTAGAGCACCATCCTGGCAAGCATGAGGCCCCAAGCTCATACTCCAGAAAGAAAGGTCCGGATGGGCCACTTCCGGCCCGACAGAACTGTGCTGGCGGGGCCCAGCGGACCATGGGTCCCCGGGGCAGTTTGGCAATGGTGGTAAGAGGGGTGCTGGTCTGGGCCCGAGTCAGCCCAGGGCCCAAGGGGCTGTCCCTGAGCTTTTCCTGCTGAAGGCT